TACAGCTTCGTACGTTGCCACATTTATAACAATTCGTATGATGATTAATGTTAACAAAATTGATATTTAATTGCTTGTAAACATCGCATGTCGACGGTGGCGCCGCGGTATGTAGCGGTGTGAAGTGACATAATTTACGACAGCTTATGGAAGGGTATTAAGTTGGGAATGCAGTTGAACGGTTCTAGAGATGAGGAAATTATTCTGTTGCTTGTATTTGAATAATGATGATGCGATTCGAGTTGGATAATCCTACTAATATAATAAATACGAAAGTTTATTTGTTCGTTTGTTACTCCTTCACACAAAAACTGCTTAAGAGATCGGTATGAAATTTGGAACAGGGGAATACGGACGAAGTCGCTGGCAGAAGCAACTTGTTAAACAACTTTTCAAATCGATGTACCATACATTACCTACTACTCGTCTCTTGAAATTGTGCAATACCTAGGCAACCCTATTAGCAAACACTTAGCACAATTCCAAACCACTACTAGCTATTACTGAGACTGTCAAATTCGGAAAGAGCATTTTAATAACCTTGATTTTGCACTCAAAGCCCCACCATAGAAATTTGAACTCTACGCCATCAATTTTAAGCCACATTATTAATCACCGCAAAAAATCCCTTGCCATTTCATGCCACAATATTTCGCTTAAAGCCTAAAGGCATTTTTGAGAGCGTGAAAATCGGTTTTTAGGTCCTCCATCATTCAGTATAGGCACACAAATCCCCGTACCACAATTAGGCACTCGCCTAATTCACGGGCGGAACTCAACGAAGATGTTAAGCCAGTCAAACTTGACACTTATTAACGAGATGTTTGGGTTGGGTTTTAAAGCTCAGAGCGTGTGTTTTGAGCGTTTGACGTTTTGTGGGATAATGGTGTCATGCCCGTTTTCATCAACCTCTCAAACAAAACCAAGATTGAAAAATTAGAAGACATTTATTGTCAAAAATATTGATGTAAATATCTGTTCATTTTCTAAGTCAAAGTACCAAATATGGTACTTTTGGAACGTCAACAAATACAAAACAAAAGTCTGTCAGTCCGTCATTGAAGCTAGGTGCTCGTTCCAAAATGGAAAACAACGAGCAAGAAACTCCATTCGTTACTCTTTTAAAAAAAGTATGTTCTACAATGTCTCTGATACATATTCCAATACAGTACGCATATGTGAGAACAATGCAAAGACACGCTTGACTCATTATAGGTACTAATTAACAAACCTTACTAAAATAATAAAAATAAAAAAAATCTTATAGTCTAACATGGTGCTCACATAATATGCATACTGGCAATCCATAACAATAGAGCTTCTATACAAGAATAAAGAAACTCTTTGTTTCAATAAAAAAAGAAATGCTCGATGCCATAAGGAAACTAGATTGTCTATAGAATCAAAGTATTAAATTACCTACTATTGGTTTTTTTGTTCACAAGTCATAGTTTATTAAAATAATAGCACACGCATTTTTTGCGTTTATTTGATGGTCCGAATTGGGTAAATTTTAATACCGGGAACGCGAGCAAAGCCGCTGTAAACGGAGGTTTAGTCAGTAAGAGTCTGACACTCCTCAAATTCCCAATTCTCAAAAGGCCGGTAACGCACTTAAAACGCCTTGGTGTTTCGGGTGTCCATGGGCGGCGCCGATTGCTTGCCATCAGGTGATCCGTCTGCTCGTTTACCGGCTTATGCTTAAAAAAAATTCTCTCTCGCATCATCTATGGCGGCATAAGTCATAGGATGATTTTCACCCCCTAAGAAAGACGTTGACAGAGGCGACAGAGTTTGACACAATGAAATAATATACTAGCCATACCTATTTTATACGTTTATATCCTTAAAATATTTCAAATAACATACCGAAATAAACTCAGATGTAATTTATAGCTCAGTAAGCAATGTTCAATGAACCGTATATTTGTACAAATAGAGTATATTTTAGCTAAAATTGTAATACTAGTGATAATTTCATTGAAATGCAAATACATGCATAGTATATTATAACATTTGAAACGAGATATACTAAAATGTACTAAATTGATAGAATAGTGTTTCAATCCAACCTACTCTTTTCTGTATTCGATTTTAAATTCTATTGTTTAGGTACAAAGTCGAAATTGTGAAAAGTGGGTAATTGGGCCTCCGGTAACCTCATTCATACGACGAAACAACGCAAGCATTGTTTCACATTTGGTCAAAAACAGGCAGGAGCGCTCTCTGTCTATACTGAACCTGTTATACTATGATATCGATTGTGATAAATCGACTAAACGGCTCTTATGTAGAGGAGACCCATTATAGTACAGCAGTGGACCGTCACCGGCTGTTTAATATTTATAGTCATTGGAAGAGTTTCCTACACCTCTTTGAATGTCACGGAGAACCTAACGGGTAACCGGGGCTCCGGCGCGACGTGCAGGAGAAGGAACGGGGTGGTTTTTAGTGTGTAAGAGTCTGACACTCCCTCCCGCCTCACCCAGGCGGGAGCAGTCATTCGATGATTTTCCCGCCTTAAAAAAAAAACCCTCTTTGAAGAATGGATTGAGAGACGTTACGGCGTCCTCATATACCGCCTAATGCAGGTGCTTACCGCACCGCGGAGGGCGGCGGGAGGAAACGCCCAGGTGTCATCACTGCGAGGATCGCCCTGAGGACACGGTGGAGCTTACGGTGGCTGTGTGCCCTGTGTGGGCTGAGCACCGTCGTGTCCTCAGGGATGTGATCGGCGACGGTGACCTCTTACGTCCGGCTCTGGTTCAGACCATGGTACGGAGCGATGGGGACTGGGATGCCGTCTCCTCCTTCTGCGAAGTAGTCATGGGGTCTCACATCGGTACCCTCTCGCCTCACCTGGACAGGAGAAGTAATTAGATGACTTTCCCTCCTCAAAAAAAACCTAATAAACTATTTACAAATACATTTATGTATATAAAATACAATTTCATTAATTGGGAGTTGAGTGAATCACTAGCTGTAACAATTCCATTCGGACGCTGATAAAAACAACATCTATTTTAACTCTTTGAGTACCGTCATTATAGACACAATTAAAGAACAATAGGTTGCGGTCACCGGTGTCCTCGCGATGTTTGACAGTTTAACTAATATGTCTGCCAAATGAAACAAAATAAAACCGAAGCCGGCCGATGTCGCCGGACAAAAACGGTGGCAACGCTTAAAGTATGTCTACAGTGACGTTGATGTTGCCAGACATGTCGACCAAAGTCCGGCAACGTCGCGCTACTCCACCCAACGTTTTTTTTTATGGCATAAGCCGGTAAACGAACAGACTGATCACCTGATGGTAAGCAATCGGCGTCGCCCATGGACACCTGGAACACCAGAGGCGTTACAGGTGCGTCACCGGCTTTTTGGGGATTAGGAGTTTGAGGATCGTTGGGGATTCAGGGATTGGGGAGATTGGGGAAGGGGAACGTAATTGGGCCTCCGGTAACCTCACTCACATGACGAAACACAACGCAAGCGTTGCTTCATGTCGGTTTTCTGTGAGGCCGTGGTATCACTCCGGTCGAGCCGGCCCATTCGTGCCGTAACATGACTCTCCCACACTTAACTCGCTGGCAACACGTGTCACAGGACATTTGTATCCTAGTCTTTCCTTGGTTTAAATAAAAAAGGATTAGCCCTAATGTTAATAATATTATTTTAATAGTAATTGTATTATTATTGTACATATCACGCGTCCGCCCGATAACAGCGCGCCGCTTCCTTTACGATCTGTTCAATGTGATACGAACAAAGTTTTGTATTTGTACAAAATATTCAATCAATTTTTTTTTAGTATGAGAACTAGGAATGAGGGTCGAAGCAGTTTCGATGTCAACTATTTTGTGAGCTTGTGGAATTAAACATGTAATGTTTTTAAATGTTTTATTATTAAACATGTAATGTTTTTGAATGTTTCATTATTAAACATGTAATGTTTTCAAATGTTTTATTATTAAACATGTACTGTTTTTAAATGTTTTGTTAACAATTTAACAACAATAAATATCAAATCATCAAAATAGAACAGGTACTCCCATAATTCAGAGAGCTGAATTTGGCCAAGTCACACAACATTAACTATAATAATAAAAAAACGCAATGAGGAACCTTTTACTTGGTACGACTTTGTCTAGATTTTTAGACATGAACGAGCGGATCCATCTAGTCTTGGGTAGTTTTTTACAAAATGTTTTTGGTTGGATATTATATTACAATAAGAAAACATCTTCCATGGTTTGGTTGAAGGAAAATATCGTGAGGAAACCTGGGAAATTTCTAATTATAAGTTTGAAACCGCCAAACCGCATTGAGCAAGCATGATGATTAATGCCCAAACCTTCTCCGTGTGAGAAGAGGCTTTGCGCAGTGGGCATTTATAGGCTGTTGATGTAAGGTCAAAAGTAGATGTTATCATACAAAAAGTTTTATTATCTCAAGATCAATATACAAGTATTAAACAACATCTGTTTAATACTGATGCAGTCCCAGTAATTTTTTTTATGGAATAGGAGGCAAACGAGCAAACGGATCACCTTATGGTTAGCGATCAGCGCCGCCCATGGACACGTGCAACACCAGAAGAGCCACAGGTGCGTTGTCGGCCTTTTAAAAAGTAATTAATACGCTCTTTTCTAGATGGTTGACGGTTATACAATACTAGTGTTGGGCGTTACAAACAATACATGTTTCATAAATATCATTTTATATTAATCATATTAAACACAAACTTCATATCCATCAGGAATTACTACCATACGTGATACGCCCCATTAAAATATACTGCAATTGTATTATGAACTTCGTTTATTTTTAAATTTATCACAAACGATCATATCCAGGAAGCGAATAGATAATTTACATTTGTGACAGTTTTGTTACTGTTTAAAACAGTAGTGTGTTCCCGGCATTATAAACGACACGTTGCAAGATTCCTTTTTTGAAATTGTAAAAAAAAAATTATTGATTAAACCTCTTTAGTGAAAATGTCAAGGACTATTGTTTGTGTTTTGTTTTTCTTATTTTGTAATTACGTTAAAAGTGAAAATATTACTACGTTTGTGTATACGTCAAAAAGTAAGCTATTTAATTTTTATCACGGCGCATTTAATATTCGTACATTCATTTACACCACTAGTTATATTAGTAGCATTTTAATTATAACTAATCTTGTTGCTAAGCATCAATGGGGAATTCCAGAAATAAAATCGTTATTAAAATACTTTACAAACCATTCCATAGTTACATTTACTACTAGATAACTGGAAGGTGTTATTAGAAGTAATATATTATGTAGTAAGATGATTTTAAAAAAAAATATTTGTATACGACATTTGCATTGTGAATACACCCAATTTACGCCTATAAGATTGCTTTTGGAATCAGGGATTCCCATTATTATTATTGACCATTATTAGCAAATGAAAGACACTTTCACTACAGATAATTTCATCTATAAATTTTTTAGATATTCAATGTTATAAACAACAATAGGTAGAATTTTTTATCATGCTTAGATTTATTTTATATTTGATGGCCTACGTTTGACCACTATGATTTTCTAATTCAAACTTTTTCGTACCCAAAGACCACTAAACTACACCTAAAATACGTTTTTTTTTTTATATTTGATAGGTTGCTAGGTTTGGAAACCATCTCGCATGGTGGTAAGCGATGATATGGCCGACATACAATAAAATGAACATCCTCTTATAACATGTCTCTAATTTTTGTCCCCAGTGGCCCAACAATGCAAAGAACACATCTGCCAAGACGGTTATAACTACAAATTCTTCTATAGCGTAGACACAGACAACTTGAAGGCACTAAGCAAGGACTCTGACATTGCTTTCGAAATGCACCTGGGCATACAAGCTACAAGCAATGGACATATACTGTTGTCTCCTGTCCCGAAACCAGGGTACAACGACCCTGTGTATGAAATCGGTAAGTTTGAACATATAAATGAAAATAAACTAACTAAATTACACTAATGACTTACGATATTTTTTTTTATTGCATTCATATACATCAAATCTCTCGGAAATAATAATAATGAGTTCTCAAAGTATTCTATAAACGATAGAAGGTACTAAATAATGTGTGATGCAATAATTTCATTTTTTACTTGTGTGCTTTCTTTGTCTAGACCTATAAAATCGCATTAAGAGTAGACTTTATTTATGATAGCAACTGCGTCTCCACTATATAGTAGTTGACTATTCTGCTAGCTTCAAATGTGATGACGGCAGATGAATACGGTACCATCGAAGTATAGACAGACTTTTACAAAATGGCGCCATTATCAAATTGTAAGCTGTCAAATCTGTCACTGTTAAAAAAGAAACATTCAATTTAAAGTCATCTTTAACCAAAAAACGGTAACCTATAACCAAAATATACTGCTATTTCATATTTATCAAAATACACGAAACAGACAGCTCTTAGCATAAACAAATTGACAAATTACATTACCTACGAAGACAAACATTTACATTTCAACGATCCCAATTCCAAATCTAGACAAACAAGAGATGATGACCGTCGTCCAGCACATTAGTGTAACTAAATAACTATGCCTTAAAACCCAGCGCACACCGGCGGAGACGAGCTAAAGACACTAAAAATAAATCAATTTAAAATAAAACTTAACCACTATAGCATACAGATAAAATCGGCATGCCAAAGAAGCTTGACGACGCACCGCTTACCTCCCATCTTTAGCGTGCATATTCTCAGTATCTTCGGCGCATCTTCGCCGGTGTGCACTGAGCCAATAATTGTACCTTAACTGAATTGTTGGCCAGTGGTCGGCGGCGGCGGTAACCAATTCACTGAACTACGAAGGAACTTGAAGAGAAATGCCCGCAACTCGGTCAAAACACCAAGAATATTATCCAGTTTTGAAGTCAGAGGATTCTATATTAAGATATCTCATGGTAAGATGCATTTTGCTTTAGTTTTGTTACGTAATAAGTAACCTTATTTTATTCTCATCTTTGATAAAGGTACGTTATTTCTAACAGGTGTGAACCTTAAGTTATTTTAGTTTTGACGGTTATATGAACGTAGCTTTGTTTGTCCAATAACGCTAATAAAATTTATTTTATTTTATGAGATATAATTATAAAAAAAAAGAAAAAACATTTACAAATCATATGAAATGAACTGAATGGACTATTTTCCCACATATTTTCAAATTAATTATAATGAAAGTTAACACAGTTCAACAAAGTTCCACTTAAAAAATCTACAACAGTTCATAAATAATTTCAAAAGTGACTTGAACATCAGCCTTGATTGTCACAAATGACGTCGTTGTCATGGTAACCACAAAAACCCAACTGGTCCTTTTTATTTCGTGGTCGTGTCTGTCCCAACGCGCATTCAGCCTAACATGTGCCCTCACCGATAATAACCTAATGGTGCCACCTGTCGCATTGAGCGAGAACTACCTGAAAACGTGACGAGAATCACGTGGAACGATTTCAAACATAATGGTAGCTTCTGTTACTCAAAATCGGATGTGGTCCTTTGATACGAAAGTTCGATTTATCGATATATCGGTATTGTGAGCCGATTGTAGATTAGGTACAGTTAAGAATATTAAATATCAATGAATTAAAAAAAAAGAAAATGCATTTGGAAAACAAGTACTACGTACTCACTAAATTAATTAACTAATCAACGAATTCATAAACAGAAAAACGCAACACCTTTTTCTCCGTCCTGACAATTCACATTGTAGTTCGCGGCTCTAAAAACTCTAAACCATAAATATTACTAGTATAAAAACCTGTATAAGTCTTCATATAACAAACAGGAGCTTAACAAATAACATTTTCGCAAATCACTGAAATGAAAAATTGTGTGCTATAACCATATAAATTGACACTAAAGTCGTTTGTTCAAAACGACACCCAACACACTGCAGAATGATTTTTCATAAAATAAATTTGAAGTAAGGTGAAACTCGGATTTAACAAGCTCACATGGATTTAGAATCCTTTTTTGTATGCATGTGATATACTCTTGTTTAATACATAAAATAAACCTTGTTATAAAGAGATAGAATAGAATGCTTTAGTGACATCAAAATAGTGCAAGCAAAAATACACTTTATGCTATTAGAAACTGTTGTTTAGTAAGCGTTTTTGAAATGGAGATGTAAGCGTTGGAACTCGATTAACACAAATAAAAAATCATAAAAATTCGTTTGCGCCATCTTTTTTAAAACGGTTCCTATAACATACTAAACAGACTATCGCGATTGACTTTTTAGTGTGTAAAATTTTTGCACATCAATACAACTCGGCTAAACACAAAAAATATTAATTAATAGGTATGACGTCATGCCTTTTAATTCCTGAAAGTTTACGTAAATGTGAATTGAAACATTTCAATGCCCACTATTCTGTATTTTTTTTTTAATTTAAAAAAATGCCCCGCTCTGTTTTTGTCTCCTATCTCGTGGGTGCGTTTACAAACATACAATTTCACATACACATGATACCCAGACCCGGAACAACAATTTGTGGATCACACAAATAGTTTTTCTGTGCGAGAATCAAAGCCGCAATACGCGGCGTGGCTTATTCACGACTTATGTTATAAGTCTTATGTTATCATACAGTGACTCCGTGCTATTCCAGAGAAATTTTTGAAAACATAGAAAAACCTATTGTCTAGTCATGAAATACTTTGCTCGTAGTAGTACACTTGCCGACATTATTATTAGCAACAAGCGTTTTTAAACTTTACTAAAACAATGTTCATGGCAATATACTTATATACTACACTATACAGTCTCCTGACACTAAAACGAAAGGACCATAAACCCAAGAAATTTCATCCAACCTTATCCAATATTCGATTACAGATGGTCTAATAGAATTTGGCAAGGAAGGCGAAACTCTACCTCTGCTGCAGTACAATGATATTAACCCTCTCGAAATTAAATACTTTAGTTTTGCTGCGTGGACGGGCGTTGAAGCTAAATTTCTATACGACTGTCCAATACCGAATGCTGGTGGTAGTGGATGTAAGTGTTAAGTTGTATTTTTATATTTTGAAATTGGAATTTGAGATTTTTTTTTAAGGACGAAGGAGTTGTGCAAATGTTGTAATACTTCATATGTAAAAGTCAATGGTAAAATGTCATGGTGGGCCGAAGATTTAAGACGTGCTTCTCATGCATCTCACGGGTACGGTTTCGAAACCTACCAACGGCAAGTACCAATGTGCCTTTACCCGAGTTATATGTACGTTCTAAGATTATCTAGACACCACTGACAGACGATGAAGGAAAACATCGTAAGAAAACCTGAAATTATAATTTTTAATTATAAGTTTGTAATCGCCAACCCGCAGTGAGCAAGCGTGGTGATTAATGGTCAAACCTCCTTCGTGTCAGAAGAGGCTTTGCTCAGCAGTGGGTGTTTACAGGCTGTTGATGATGATGAATGGTAAAATGAATACGCAGTTTTATTTGTCTGTCAATTTTATTATGTGTACAAAATAATTAAACACAAAATCATAAGCAAAAATGAAGTTTGAATATACAGACGCTAACACAGCAAGTTACACGGGTCTGTAGAAATTCTAGAACCATTTGAAATTAGACAAAACACAAATCAAATTAATTTAGTATTAAGAAAACTGTTTTAGATAATTAATTTTTTCATTCGTAGCTTCACCCAACTCTAAAGAGATTGAGCCTCCAATGTCAATATCTGATCAGCTAAAGAGGACTATTCTGTTATATCGGTTACCATGGATACCTCCCAAACCGACCATGGATGTTAAAGTCGGAATTAAAGTGACCAATGTGAAATATGATCCGTTTGTTTCAAAGCTCAGCACTTCTATGTCTGTTGTTACCGTGAGTATGTGTTATATAAAAAACTAATAACAAACAAAAAAATCAAGACTAAAAAAAAATAACTATTATTATTACTGATAGGTTAGAAGTCGGCGCCATAAATTCTATACAAAATTATTCATTAAAACCTTAATAGATACCTAATTTTCAATTAATTAAGTTATATCATTATGATATATTATAAGCTTATGGCACCGACTTCTAACCTATCAGTGGGTGGGTAACCTACTAATACTAATAATAGTTATTTTTGTATTGGCGATGTAATCGGCGAAAAAACAAAAAAACAACAATCAGCCGAACATAGTACCTCCTTCTTTTTTTGAAGTCAGTAAAAATGAACATGAAGCCTGGGCATCAAGTCTGCTATTTTTATAATTGTTGTCTGTCCAACACGATCGCATTGTCTTTTTGCTAAAAGTCCCTATTCTGCTAAATTCATAATAGTCGATCATTGATCAGTCAATGGTCTCGTAATGGAATTGTAGTAGAATAACATTGCCGTACTGCCCTTATTATTAAACTTTATAGTAGAAATAATTTTCTAAAAACTACTACTTTTGAACATTTATTCGTATCAGATGTTATTTATATTTGATTTAACAAAATCTATCATCTATCAATTATGTGCAATCTGAACTATCTGTCATTACGTACGACTTTTTTTATGGCATAAGCCGGTAAACGAGCATACGGGTCACCTGATGGTTGGCAATGGGCATCGCCCATGGACACCTGGAACACCAAAGGCGTTACAAGTGCGTTACCGGCCTTTTGGGGATTAGGAATTTGAGGATCGTTGTGGATACAATTATTGATAATTGGGCCTCCGGTAACCTCACTTACACGACGAAACACAACGCACAGAGTTGGTTCAGCCAATCGCGAGATAATCACACACAAACATAGATACATACAGGTTAAATAGAACCGTCTTCTTTTTTTGAAGTCGGTTAAAAATGGTATGAATAGGGCTGTCCCTATTCACCTCTTAAACCCTATTTTACCGTAGTCCCTTAGCCTACAACGGCAACACCTACTAGATACGAAAGTGTATGTACTGCTTTGTCGTGAGTAGACAACCTACCATGACATAATAGTTATGTCGATTCCTAATTAACATTGCATGGTATATTCATAAGAGAGCTTGTTGCTAAGGAAATCAGGAAACGTGTTTTATTTACCAGCATATTCTGTATGGCTTCAATGTAAAAGGAGAAATTATGACAAAAATGATGATAATCACTTTCAGAGTTGGACTGATGAAAGCATGGCGTGGTACCCAGACAAATATGGCAACACGACAAGTCTGAAGTTTCGACAAGGTCAGCTATGGAGACCCAAGTTTTATATTTTCAAGTAAGTAAAATCTATTCATGTACAACTATTGAAACTTCGTATAGTGGCGACACATAGAAGATTCGACACGATGACGTCACACAAATCCCTGCTTCGCGCTAGAGAAACTGCGCGCAGAATAATATGCATTGAAAAACCCAACATACCACTGGGCAGTAGTCCGCTAGACATTTTTTTTGTTTTAAAGCCTTCATGCACTCTCTAACTTAATGCCATGGGCATTCTCCTCCAGCCAGACAGCATTATCTGGAGAACCTGGTCCGATGTTAAGGAAGTTTATTATCTGTTCCATAAAATATTAAATTACAATGTCATGCCTCGTAATATCTAAGTAGAATTGAACATGAGGCCTCTTCTTACTTAGCTATCAAGTTTTACCGCTTGACCAAGGAAGCAGTAATTTTTATAAATTATTACCAACCCATCTTAAAGAGTATAAATTAAAAATCCCTTTGACATTTTCTGACAGCAAGTTAAGATGAGATGAAGGAATGGAAAATTCAATAAAGTTGAAATTTCCAATAAAAAATTAGGTCGCATCAGGAAATCATTAGCAAATTCTTCAATATCGAGTTTTAAATACCTGTCTCATCAGCCAGGCAGCTGAACTTCTCAAAGTTAATTACCCTTTCCTTAGATAGTATGAAAGAAAACGTAAAGAGTCTGTTAGTTTGTCCTTTTTTCAGGCCAACAGGTAAATCGACTTTATTGGAAAACATTAAAGTTGAAATTGAAATAGGTTGAATAGGTACCGTTTGTACTTAATTATAGAGTAGCGGAGTAATATTATGACCTTATTATATTATTAAAACGTAATTGTTAAGGATTGAAACAATGTGATTCTATTATGATAGTCTTATAAACACTAAACAATAAAATTAAAAAAACACACGGAACCATAACCTAATAGACTGACGTCTTATTTATTCATAAATAGAAAGGTACATGCGCAGTACAATTGAATGAGTATAACAAACCCAATACAGCAATATTACAGCTGATATAGCAACAAGTACACAATAACAATTAGGCACAATATTTAAGTAATTAAACAAAATCACCGATATTCGTCCGACCCCATCCAACTGCAACGACCGACTGATTAAATGCTACAATTGCCACCTTTTTTAAATTATTCCGCTCGGTCCAGGCTTCGGGTAGAGAGATTCTTCTAAGAATAGCTTAACAACTTAATTTTACACAAGAAACCACTTCCGCAATTTTCAAGGTCAAACATTATAAAGGAAACAGAATTCAATTAGTTTGAATTTGTACAAACTTGTCTTCATACATCAGTTGACAACTCTTTAAAAAAATACATATCAAATATGGTCCTTAATAAGACTTCAATCATCGTGATCCTTCAAGACGAAACCGCGGGCAATATCCATAACCTAATATTCTCTGTTTGACGTTCTTATATTTGATTAGAATATCGGTATGCCTAAGACATGATGAAGCTCAAAGCTATCACCGCCTCATGAATATACTATGAATAAATAATTCTTTAACCGACTATCTCCTTCAGTTTGAACCGGTAACTCTGTCGTCTTCGGATCGAAGGACCAAAATAGAATTTTGTCTTGTTAAACAGTTAAACGTATTAATTAATAACTTTTTTAATAGATATAGAACTTTTTTCTATTGACTTCGTTGCTCACAAATACATATTGTGTAATAAAATCTTGGTTTTAACCCCAGTACAGCGCAGGACTAAAAGGGTGGTCTTTGTCCAGCAGTTGCCTTTCGGCTGTTGGTGTTGATGTTACTGATGATGACAATTAGGTGATTTTGGAGATCCCAAAATTGATAAGTGGTTCGTTTATAGGATCACCCCTTAAGGAACTGATACCAATATCACATAGTCATAACTAATGACTGGTGGTGAAATATTATTTATATTTTTTTTTTTTCATCTAACTAGAAATGACTCACTGTAAATGCGCATTTTCTATCAAAATATTTCTTTTCAGTTCTGACAACCAGATGCCTTTGGATTCAATGGACTCAGATCTAGTTTCAATGGTGTACACTGGCGAAGCGACCTTCCATTTCCAGACGACAGTCAATACTTGGTGTGTCGATACACCACCAGGATACAGCAAGTAAGTTTACAATTGAATCGAGTTTGAAGTTGTACGTGTATTGTATTGTGTTTGAGCTGGAAATAATTGAGGCTACTATTAACGTTTGCTGTATTGAAATTAGATGTGGATTGTGATGATGAATATGAAAAGTATTTATTGTCTGTTTTAATAAGTTATTTATTTACATGGCAATGCTATTAACCTACTGGGTACTTCCTTATTGACGTCGACGCGGATGTTTTTTTCGTGCTCTTTAGTCTTTTTTAGTTTTCTTTTATTTTATTTAATAGTTTAAGTTGTACATATTTATTTATTTTCTTGTTTTACTATTTCATGAAAAGTTAGTTTAAATCTGATTCATTGTAGTCCTTCGGGAATTAAAATATGTGCCGTGGTGTTATGCAACGCATACTCCAAGAACACGAATTAAAGTATGTATTTTATAAAAGTATTCTCACAATGTCTGTCTACAGGTGGCCTAGAGACGAATACATGTGCTCCATAGTGATTCAGCCTTGGGAAGCTCACGAGAAAATCTCAGTAGAAATCATTGAACAAAATAATAGCAAGATGCATATTGTAAGTACATCAGCAATATACATTCAGACAGTCATAATGTATTTTTATTGTATACTTCTATCATAGAGTGTTGTATCCTTATATATCTTTGATGTATGTCATTGATTCTATAATAAACTGTACAAGTTCTTTTAAGATTAATTTAAGTTTAGTATTATTTATATTTTGTTAAATAAATAATTATATGTTACGTATATTCATGCCTTTATCCCATAATGTTTTCGTACCAGCACCTAACTTCACTGATGGACAATTATATTTTGATGTTTCCAAACCTGGTCACCTGGTGATTTAATAAATATTTTTAAGACATTTAACTTCCTCGTAAAATTATTATTTTGCGAGGAAGTTTACAGTCTTTGTGGTTGCAAACGTTTGCATAAGCCAATGGCAGTAATAAAAATAATTTACCCTTATCATTTATAGTTTTCAGATGTGGATAAACAAATTGAAAATGTGTGGGAATCGTCCATAAAACAATTGGTGATAAAGCCGACGATATGGAACCAAGTGTACGTCAGCGATGACAATGAAACGCATCAGAGTGATCGATTTATACTTAGTCTGCAACTAAAAAGAAGAGCCACTGCTTACAACATTGTATTCTATACTCCTTTATTAGGTAAGTATTCATTAGTAGAAAAAAGTATCTTATTTCTATACCATTATAGACCAAATAGTTTGATTAATTAATATTTTTACAGTGGACCCAAGATGGCACCCTGTGGTACCCCATATCTTAGTATTCTATATCAATGGATATGATTATATTACCTCCGTAATTCTGACCATTTCAAATACATTAGGTTATTATAAGTTAAACACATAACAATATTATTTGAATAAGATAATTTATTAAATACGATTACTTTTTGCAAATGTGATTGCTTTTGACAGTTCTCGTAGTATTCGTGTAGCTTCTAGTCTTACCCTCACTACTCTTTGTTTCAGTTCTGTTGATGTTCGTTCTAATGTCGTTTTGGAGTGAACCTCTGACTATGGAAAGGATTTGTTTTCTCGCTGGATGTACCATCGTCATTACTATGGGGCTCTGTTATGTGGACTTCTTGATACCTTCGCATTTAATGCCTTCTATATGTAAGTGTTTGACATTGCATAACTTTGAATTAGCCATGTTAATATTTAGCAAAGAAAGAAAGAACATAATTGTCTTGATTAGTTACTTATGTATGTGGCTATGTATTAGTTGTTTTATTTACTTTACTTTAACACAAAAACTGGTGAAACTATTTCAAATACTTTTGAGCTTTGTTCCTAGTTAGTGATCTAGAAACATTTATTGAACCTTTTGTCGTTAAAAAAAGAATGTTCAAATTGAAAAACTAAGCAAGATCAAATAAGTAAATTTTAAAATATGATGAAATTGATGTATTATTTGCCTGTCCTTTTAAAAAGAGTAACAAATGGAGTTTTTTTTGCTCGTTTGCTTCTCCATTTGAATGTTCCTTTTTTAATGAGCACCTAGCTTCACCTAGCTTCACTGATGGACTGACTGACAGACTATTATTTATTTTGTATCTGTAACCGTTTCAAAAGTATCAAATTATGGTTTAAATGTAATAAATGCTTTGACTTTGACTTTATCCTAATAGTATGACTAATCCTCATATTTTATTTCCAGTGATACTCTACACAACAGTGTTAATGGGCGTACTGATAGCGTTGCTGATTCAAGCTTTACTGATAACAGACACATTTGAAAAGTTCCGTAACTTTGCGTTTGTACAGAAAATGTTGAATGCATACGTTTTTAGGACCATTTTCTGTCTCCCTGCGTACACGGTATAATATTTTTGCTTTATTATAAAACCTTCTTTTTTACAGTTTTATAAAGTCCTTTTTTGCACAGCAAAATTTGGTTTTTGTTGTGTTTAGGGCCTGTGTACGAAAAAATACGCTATTGTTAATTTAAACTAATTTGTGTATCGAAGTTATCAAAAAATATCATCAGTCCGGATCGGTAGTCCTAGTATTTTTATTTAGTTTCCATATACTTACATATTTTATACACCAAACTAGCAATAGTAACGTAGCTACATGTTTTCTTGACCTCATAAAATAATGAAAATAATAATTAATTTTATTATATGCACTCTGTGCGTATACAAGGACCAATTTCGACAAAAAATAATAAGAAAAGAACAATCCTTCATTTTTGTAATTTGTGATTATATTGGGTGATCGTGTTTGGAGACTCTTTTTAACAAGATGTGCGTGTGTTAGGAGACCTTGCTTTTTACCGACTTCAAAAAAAGGAGGAGGTACTATGTTCGGCTGATTGTTTTTTTTTTTTTTTTTTTTTTTTTTTTTGTTTGTTCGCGCAGTACTCCGCCGTTTGTGGACCGATTTCGAAAATTTTTGTTTCGTTTGAAAGGGTATACTCCCGAGATGGTCCCATTTCCATGAAGTCAGGATCTGATGATGGGATCCTAGGGAAACCGAGGGGAACTTTCGAAAATTCTATGGGGGAGTAATGCGTCTATTATGTTTTTCAATTACGAATTTTAAACACTACAATTTAATAAGGGTCTGGAGTCGACCTGATGATGGAGCCGACAGACAGTCGAGGGAACTCCTTAGTGGTTTATATTAACTACCTTGTGTTTGGGCTTAATTAATTTGTATTGATGAGGACTTTACACCTAGATAGAGTGGGGCTGTCATTAAGGGTCTGATGATGAAGAAGTGTAATTGTTAAGGGAACTCCTCAACGGTATACAGTAACTACCTTGAGTTTGGGCTTGATTAATTTGTATTGATGAGGACTTTACACCTAGATAGAGTGGGGCTGTCATTAAGGGTCTGATGATGAAGAAGTGTAATTGTTAAGGGAACTCCTCAACGGTACACAGTAAATACCTTGAGTTTGGGCTTGATTAATTTGTATTGATGAGGACTTTGCACCTATGTATATTATAAGTAACAAAACGGGTATATGTAGCTTTACACTGAAAATGGTAAAATAATAAAATAAAAACTGCGTTTAAAAAACCGACTTCAAAAACCAAAAACTAATAATAAACAAAAAGTCAATACTAAAAAGCAAAAAATAACTATTATTAGTACTGATAGGTTACCCACCCACTGTTAGGTTAGAAGTCGGTGCCATAAGCTCATATAATAATTGATATAACTTAATGTCCACAAAATTGTGAATTAGATACCTATTAAGGTTTTAATGAATAATTTTGTATGGAACTTATGGCACCGACTTCTTACCTATCAGTGGGTGGGTAACCTATCAGTACTAATAATAGTTATTTTTTGCTTTTTAGTATTGACTTTTTGTTTATTATTATTCCATATAATATCCTTCATTTAACACCCCTTATGAAAATTTCAGAAATCATTAGATAGAAACGGAGGGTACTCATTGCAAGAAGATGAAGAACCACAATCTCCGATAACAAGAGGAGATGTGGAAGAGATGGAAAAAGAGACTCCAAGGACTTGTGGAGATAAGAAGGAGCTAGCAGAAGTAGTAGATAAAATTATGTTCGTGATTTATTTCGTTATTTTTATTTCTATGTTAGCTGCTCATTACTGAGTGGGTTTTAAGAAAAGAGTAATTTTATACCATAGGTAACTCTTTTTGATTTTGTCGTGTGGCTTTTGTGTATATTAATGAAATATGTCATAGTATTATGTATAGAATAGACAATGTTTGTAATATAAGCGATGTGATCCAATGCAGTGTTTTACAATATGACCTTTATTAATAAATAATAAATAAATAATGTTTATTTGGTGCAAAAAACAAGATAACAAAATAAATCTTATTACCTAAAGAAAGTTTAAGTTTATATAAAACCTGAACTAGGTACAAGCCCTGTGTTTTGGGTTAAAAAGTGATTTATTGCCTTAATGTTAAATTTACCAAAGAAAGATCTTTACTAAAGAAGATATCTATTCATCATCATCATCATCATCATCAACAGCCGAAAGACGTCCACTGCTGGACAAAGGCCTTCCTGATAGTCCTCCACGTTGAACGACAATTCGCCATCTGCATCCACTGGCTCCCGGTAACTCTGGCGATGTCGTCGGTCCAACTAGCGGGAGGCCTGCCCACGCTTCGTCTTCTGGTCCGAGATCTCCACTCAAGAACTTTCCTGGCCCATCTGCCATCAGTCCGTCGAGCGACATAGCCTGCCGATTATAAAGATATCTACTACAAATACATAAATGTCACCATTACTAATCTGATATCTCTTTCAGAATCACAAACATCCTTCATTTTCTGTAGCCTTCCTTGTTTAGGTGAGCTAACCAAAATAAAAAATTAAATCGCATATCCACTTTAACAGGACTAAAACCATGGAAAATTGAATTTTAAGCTTTTGAAAATAAAGCTTAAAATATTATTCTGGTAAAATACGGTAAGTAGGTAACAGTCGTACCGAGTATTAACAATGATAGAATCGTAAAGTGGAATGAGAATTGTTTAACTCTTCATACAATGGCATTACCATCGTCAGTTTTAAAAATATTTATTTTATACCGTCATGGTATCATACAGTCCTAACTAGTATTATAAATGCTATAGTTTGTTTGTTACTTTGTGTATGTAACAGTACCTTTTCTAAACTAATACTGGATATAACATAACATCACCTCTTTTTTTCCCAAAGGGGTAGGTTGCACGTTACGGCACTAAATGCCACTGTACAAGTAACACCCACTTTTCACTATATATGTTATGAGTCTCATGTATTAGCTGGTGAGTATAGCCATATATCGGACACAATTCCAGACTCCGTAATACTACTGAGAATTTTATTTTAAAAAACGCAGTAATATTTTGCCTGACCAGGGAATCGAAGCCGAGACCCCTTGCCCGGCAGTCGCACTTACGATCACTCGGTCTACTAATAAAGGAACTTTTGTAAAATTAGTAAGCGATAAATTAAATGATTATGAAAAACTTTCATAATTATCTATATATATAAAAGAAAGTCGTGTTAGTTACACTATTTATAACTCAAGAACGCCTCAATCGATTTAGATAAAAATTGGCAGGGAGGTACCTTAGAACCAGGAGACGGACATAGGATACTTTTTAAACAATACTTTTTTTTTACTTTTTACCGAAAATCACGAACGGGAACGGGGGGAAAATGGGATTGCGCGTACGAAGTCGCGGGCAGAAGCTAGTCCCTTATAAATACAATATAATAATACAAGGTGTTGTTTTAAAGCCGCGTCATTTTCTAGGAGATAACTCGGATATAGATTCTGAGTCCGAATCAATAAAAAAATTGTAGGTAAATATTTTTAATTTTTCTGAAATTACGGAAATCCGTAAGTGCGAAGTACACGCCGCCGTCTTGTAACTAGCTTTATAACGCGGCTCAACACACACAAACTCAAACACGTAATTGATATACGATAGACGGGGTGGTTTTTAAACAGTAAGAATCTGACACTCCCTCTCGCCTCACCCAGGCGGGAAATACGATGATTTTCCCCCTTAAAAAAAAATCTGTGTCATTACAAAGAATTTGTTGTGACAGAATTATAATTAGGCGCGAGTTAATATTGAGTGGCGTTTGAGTATTTCAGCGTATGGCCAGTTAACACGCGCTGTTAGCGGCGCCGTCTATAACCTGGCGCTTTAAAATCTTGCCTTAGGGAAAAACGGATATAGAGTGACTCCAAAAATAACGTTTAACAGTTGACTAGGCTATTACAATAGGTCCAATATTAATGGGTACACCTCTATCTACCTCTACAAGCAACATAATAAAAAGATTATTAAACTCTTTTCATCTCCAGTCAATATCGGGTGTAAAGTAAAATATCCCAATTTCCATAGTTTAAGGAATCAATGAAAAATTTCCGAGCGTTGATTATTGCCAAGCGTTGGCATGCAAATTCCTTTTATATAGCTCTTGTTATGAAGTCCAATTTGCTTTGTGTTTCACCTTTTATTTATTGATTGGATATTACACGTGTGCTGTATGTTCTTGCTTTATCGGATGAAGGGTTGTGTAAAGCGATTTTGGGATGTCTGTTTTGGAAATGCTGAGACGAGATATGGCATCTAGCATTTTGTCCAGTTAATAGGCGATAGTACCATGATACATGTGAGTAAGTAATGGGAAAACTTTTGATCGGTTTCTTTGAGTAATTTAATACGTGTTATGAAATGACCATATGACTTTTTAAGCTCTTGTTTAGTTGGTGATGATGATGATGACATATCCACCTATGTGGTGATCATTACCCTAACGTTAATGGTAAACTGGTGTTGCTGGTAAAATGATGGACATCCCCATGGGCGTCTCCGATGGCTTACCATTCCGTCATCCATCTGTTCGTTTGCTTCCAATTCCATAAAAAAATGTAAAACAGTACTGCGTCATTTTTCTTACTTAATGTTATGAATAACCTCAAAAACGACAATAACAATTTTAATTTTTCTCCTCCAAATAGCAATTAATAAGTTGAATTTTATTCCATTGTTCTACGAAAATAAGACCAAAAAAGAAAGAAACAAAGTCGCGATTCTCTAGAGAATCGCAATCACAAAATAAAAGAAAAGATTTCGACTATCATTTGCGAAGTAAACTCTCTTTATTTACAGTTGCAACGATATAATTTTTAATTAGAATTGTAATTGAAAGTAGTTGACTCAGTTGCTTCTGTTTAAATTTATTCCTTTTTAAAAAGATCTTTGCTAAGTGTAAATGTAACCTAGTTTCGTGAGAATGAATTGTGTATTTCCGTTTTGAAAATTAAAATATTTTATAACTAGCTTCTGCCAGCGGCTTCGCCCGCGATCTCAGGGGTAAAATGCCTATGTATCACTTCAGACCATAATGTACCTCTGTTCCGAATTTCATTCCGGTCCCTTCAGTGGTTTTAATATGACTGAGTAACAAACATACACATAAACTCACATATTTTCATTTATAATATCGAGTCAAGCTAATTTCAACCATTGGCCTTTCAGTTACAGCGTAATGTCTATGAATGAGTATTGTAAACGTTAGAGTAGACAAATACAATCAGAAATCACCGAATTGCTAAGCTATCGGGAGTTTCACGTGTTATTGTGAGTCAACCATAAAAGATAGACATATGCTGTCGAGGAATATTTTTTATATAATTTTAAGGAGAATATTTCCGTCATATATGATTTCTATGCAGCTTTAACCTATAAGCCTGCACACGCGACGGAAGCTTAAAAAATGGGAGTAACTTCTCCCGTTTTCCCAATATTTCCCTTCACTGCTCTGCTCCTGTTGATCGTAGCGTAATGAAAAGTATACTATAACCTGCCCAAGAGTATGAAGAATAATTGTGCCAAATTTCGTTAAAATCCATCGAGTAGTTTTTGTTTCCATAACGAACATACAGACAGACAGACAGACAGACAAAAATTTTACTGATTGCATTTTAGGCATCAGTAGCGATCCTTAACCACCCCTTGATAGTTATTTTTTAAATATATTGTATGTACAGAATTGACCTCTCTACAGATTTATTATAAGTATAGATGTCCATTGTAGTACTCTTTTGGTCCTAGTTCCATGCAATAAGGGCACAAATTTAACAAAAGGTCGTGCTATTACTGTGATCGATACATGAAAAACATTCCAGTAGCATTCCGTCCTACAGTTACAGTTTGAGTGTGGGAGAGCCATGCTTCGGCACGAATGGGCCGGCTCGACCGGAGTGATACCACGGCCTCACAGAAAACCGACGTGAAGCAACGCTTGCGTTGTGCTATGTCGTGTGAGTGAGGTTACCGGAGGCCCAATTACCCTCCCCTTCACCAATCTCCCCAATCCCTGAATCCCCAACGCCCTCAAACTCCTAATCCCCAAAAAGCTGGTAACGCCTCTGGTGTTCCAGGTGTCCATGGGCGACGCCGATTGCTTACCATCAGGTGATCCGTCTGCTTGTTTACCGGCTTATGCCATAAAAAAAAAGGAATTTTAACTTCAGAAGTGTAGGCCCTCTTCTTAACGGTCATACTTGAGTTCACACGACGTATTAAGCAATATGAGTATAAACATGACATAATGCCTTTTATCACCAGACAGAGGTGCACATTACGGCACTTAATGTCACTGTACAATGTATAACATCCACTTTTCAATATTGACATATGTTATGAGTCCCATGTAATAGGGGGTAAGCCTATTGCAAGATACCAGGCATAATTCCAAACTCTCGAGATTAAAAAAAAATCATAAATACATTGCCCGACCCGGGAATCGAACCCGAGACCCCTTACCCGGCAGTCGCACTTGCAACCACTCGGCCAACAAGGCAGTCAATATGAGCATAAAGTGCATTTAATTTTAATATTCACCATACATAGACCAATTTCACCCCACATTCACCAAGCGAAACCGTGACGAAAACCAAACTCATGACAATCGTTCCAAGAACAGTCAGCCTATGGAAACTTTCTCACAATTGTAAAGTACAAATGTTGGCATAATGGATTAATGAATGTGCCTCAAAGTCGACGAATGGGCCTCAGTTTATAATATATCGTTTCGAAAGGCACCTGTGTCGAAAAGTTGTTCGGAT